TTACAATATCTTCAGATAAAGCAGGAGAAAGAGATGGGGGAAGACAGAGAGAGAAGCATCAATGTGAAAGAGACACAGCTGAGTGGTCGCTACCCACACAACCCCAACTGGGGCCGGGGACAAACTGCAACTGAAGTACGTGCCCTTAGCGGGAACCGAACATGGGACTCTGATCTGTGAACTGATGCTCTAACTGCTGAGCCAAACTGATCAGGGTACACCAAGATTATTCTACCCAGCAAAGCTATCAATTAGAATCAAAGGACAGAAAATGAGCTTCCCAAGCAAGAAAAAGCTAAAGGAGTTCATTACCACCAAACCCGTATTATATAAAATGTTAAAGTGAAGGAGAAGGAGAAAGAGAAGAAGGAGAAGGGGAAAGAGGAAATGGGGGGGGGGGGGGAGGATAAACAATATGAACAATAAAATAGCAATAAATGCATATCTATCAACAACCAAATCTAAAAAACAAAATAAACAAGCCAGTCTGGCTGACATTTCCAGGTGAGGTCAAACAAGTTGATGCTCTGCCTTCCCATTTTAGTTCTTATACTATAAACAAGTGTTCTTTTGATAATTTATTCAGCGCCATGATTCTGTACATTTGTGTTTTATGTTGGTGATTCTGCGGTTTTAAATGGCCCAAAATATAGTGTTGAAGCGCTGTCCAGTGACGTGGCTTATAGAGAAAATACGTTTGTTAGATGAGCTTCATTCAAGCATGAGTTACAGTGCTGTTGAGTTTGAGCTCAATGTTAATGAGTAAACAATATATATTAAATAAGGTGTGTCTTTAAACAGAAACACACGCCCTGGCCGATTTGGCTCAGTGGTTGGAGCGTTGGCCTGTGGACCAGAGAGTCCTAGGTTCGCTTCCCACTAGGGGCATGTATCAAAAAAATAAAAAACAGAAATACACATAAAACAAGATATAAATTGACTAGTTGCTGAAAATGTTGTGACCAGACACTTGCAGGAACCTAACCCTGCATTTCCCTCAGAGTAAAAATTCAATATTCTCTAATTCATTGTTTGTGGTGACTTTATAGAATATTCTGATGAAATTATATGCTAGGGAGCCGCTTCAAAATAATCTGGAGTGGGTTAGGGTTTCAAATTTCCATAACAAAATGTTTTAACACTTTTTTGGGGGGTTAAAAAACACAGTAAATGATTTATCTGAATTTCTCTTTTCTATTTCAAAGACTATGTTAAATTCCTAGCACTAATATTAAAATTGAGTGTATTATCTCTTGCATGTTAACACGTAATAACGAGTTTAATTTTTTTTAGTCTAGGGTAAAAAGAAAAATCTAATAGGATCATTTAGTCTCTGTCTCTAAAAAAAAAAAAAAAAAACCCAAACCATCCCATCATTTACACATTCTTTCAGAAATATCTATTTGACATGTACGTACAAAGAAATCTCTGCTTTTGTCCCTTCAGCCTGGAGAGTCAGTAGAAAGCTCAGCTGCTTCAACTGGATGAGGAAACTCCCACAGACTGAAGCAGCTCGATTTATCTCTTTGAACTCTATTCGTTTATTTTCTGTTCAATATTTCTTCATTATCTTGTTAGCTCCTTACTGTATACTTTTTAGTTGTCTTTCAATGGGAGACTTTATTGGCTGATGCCAGAAGTGAGGGTCTTCCTTGGGTCCAATGTCAAGATTTTCAGCCTTCACCTGAGGACATTTTTTCACTTTTTGTTCAAATAGAGTGGGAGGGAGAGAGAGAGAGAAACATCGATGTGAAAGGTACACATCGAGTGGCTGCCACTCGCACGACCCAACCAGGGCCAGGGACAAACTGCAACCGAGATACATGCCCTTAGTGGGAACCGAACCCAGGTCTCTCTGGACCGCAGGCCAACCGACACTCTAACTGCTGAGCCAAATCGGCCAGGGCAAGATTTTCAGCCTTTTAAGTCAAGCCCAATTCCCCTTCAGAGACATGGTGATCAAAGTGTGTACCTTAAGGATTTCACATACCTCTGGTGGTTTGGAATGCTGTGTTTGAACAAGGCTCAAGCAACTCAGAAGATAATGGAGAAGACCCTAGCTATCTACTTGTTCTTAGCTGAACATGAGGCCTTGAAAACAGAAAACAAAAGCCAGGACAGATTTATAAACTTCCTGGAATTTGCATACATTCCCCAAATCACAAACAGATCCATCAGCAAAGAGTGGAAAGCTTACTAGCTTAAATTGTTTAAACAAAACAACTGACCAATCACTGGCTAATTACTAAGCAACACTGATCTAGAGTCAATCCCTAGGATCAAGTTGAAAAATAAAAACAAGAAAAAAACAACTAGGTAGAAAAATGAGCAGTGGCTCACTGGGGGAGATAGACTACACAGAATTAGTCTAGGCAAAACACTAAACAAACAAACAGCAAATCAGAATCCAGATGTGTTACAATATAATATCACCTAAAATGTTTAGTTTTCAACAAAATATTACAAGATGTGCAAAGAAACAAAAAAAATGTGACCCATACAGGAAGGGGGGGTTGGAAGAATAGGCAAAAAAAGGTGAAGGGATTAATAAGTACAAATTGGTTGTTAGACTGAAGAACCTCAAAGGGAAGGGGGGTGGGGGAATAGGAAGAGATAAACCAAAGAACTTATATGCATATATGCATAACCAATGGACATAGATAATACTGTGGGGAAGGCAGGAGGGGGGCAGGAGTGGGGAGGAGGGGGTCAATGGAGGAAAAAAGAGTGGACATCTGTAATACATTCAACAAAAGTAAGTTTTTTAAAAATGTGATCCATACAGAGGAAACAAAACAATCAATCAAAAATGTCTCTAAGATTAACCAAAGAATTTATATATATATATATATGCACAGCCCATGGACACAGACAATAATAGTATGGTGAAGGCCTGGGGTGGGGCAGGGACTGGGTGAAGGGGGGAAAATGGGGGACATCTATAATACTATCAACAATTAAAAATATATATATATATGGCTATAAAAAGACAAAAAACTGTCCCTGATGGGGCCCACACATTGGGCTCAGGAGACAAAAGCTTCAAAGTAGTTATTATACTCAACTAAAAACAAACAAACAAACAAAAAATATATAAAAAATTCGTCCAGCCTGTGGCTCAGTGGATTGAGTGTTATCACATAGACTGAGAGGCCCTGATTTGATTCTCAATCAGGGCACATGCCCAGGTTTTGGGCTTGATCCCCAGCAGGGGGTGTGCAGGAGGCAGCCAACTGTTTCTCCCTCACTTAGATGTTTCTATCTCTCCCCCACTTCCTCTCTCTCTCTAAAAAAAAAAAAAAAAGCCAATAAAAATATATTTTAAAAATTAAATGAAAATATGACACCAATGACTCAACAGAGAGCGAATATCAAAAGGAGATATAAATTATAAAGAATAACTGAATGGAAATTCTGGAGTTGAAAAGTACCATAAATGAAATAAAAAATTCATTAGACCTGTGGGACAACATAAAACATTCAATATGCATATAATGAGAATCCCAGAAGGAGACTGAGAAATGACAGATCACACATTTAAAGAAATAATGACTGAGCTCAGCTGGTGTGGCTCAGTGGTTGAGCACTAACCCATGCACCAAGAGGTCGCCCGTTTGATTCCTGGTCAGGGCATATGCCCAGGTTGTGGGCTTGATCCCCAGTGGGGGGCATGCAGGAGGCGGCCAATCAATGTTCTCTCACATTGATGTTTCTCTCTCTCTCTCTCTCTCTCTCTCTCCTTCTCCCTTTCTCTCTCTAAAATCAAATCAATTTTTTTAATAAAAAAAAAAAAAAATGGCTGAAAATGTCCCCAAATTAGATAAAAATGATTAATCTATATACCCTTAAAACTCAACAAACTCCAAGATTAACACAAAAAGCAATGCACACTTAAACACATTATAATCAAACTGCCAAAAGGGTTTTTGTTTTTTTGAGAGAGAAACATCAATTGGTTGCCTCCTGCATGCACCCCAACCAGGCCTGGGGATTGAATCTGTAACCTAGGTATTTGTCTTGACTGGGAATTAAACCTGCCACCTTTTGGTGTACAGGATGATGCTCAAACCAACTGAGCCACACCAGCCACGGCATGACCTAAAATTTTAAAAGGTAAAGTAGACAACAGTAGTAACAGCAGAAATGAAATGAGAAAAATTAATAACATAACTCGGCTGTTTAACAAAACAAAAATCTTTTTTAAAAATTGATTTTCTAGACAGAGAGGAAGGGGATGAAAGAGAGAAACATCGATATGAGAGAGAAACATGGATCAGCTGCCTCCTGCATGCTCCCTACTGGGGATCGAGTCTGCAACCTGGGCAGGTGCCCTGACCGGAAATCGAACTGAGACCTCTCAGTCCATGGGGCAACTCTCCATACACTCAGCCACACCGGCCAGGCAAAAATCAAACATCTTTAAAGAACACCATAAGGAACAGGTAGAAAGGCTACTCTGGATTGCCCTTATATGACAGAGCCTTCAGGCAGATTGATGAAGAACTCTGTTAGTTTGGGCCAGGCATTTTCGAGCAATGCAATGCAGACTTCGATTATCAAAGACTATAAACTTGTTCGATATGAAGCTTCACAATCTCCCCATCTCTGTTCCCCTACATTATCCTCCATTTGACGTGCCCTCTCTTTTTTCAAATCTCCTTACCACTCAGACCTAAGTTCCACAAACAACAGCAAATGACAGAGCATAAGACAGTGACTGCACATAACTTTTCTGGTCCCATGCATTCAGACAGCATCAAATACAGCATAATCTTTTATGCCAACAAAACATTTCAACAAACATGGCATTGGAAGTAATTCAAATGCACATCAAATATTTTAAATATATATCAGGAAATTCATACCTACATAATTCTGTGAAAAACTAACAGGATGAGAAAATCCTGAGAATAATGCGTAATTCCAATTCCACTTCATATTTTACTTCATTTTCATTTTAAACCCAAGAGAAAAGGAGTAAGCACTTCTTTTCTAATTACCTGTTATGTAAGACTGCTGAGTGGCCAAATCTGTTGACATCGTGGTGCAGATCAGGTCTGGGAAGCACTGACCAGCGGTCACAAGCTAGGAGCAAGAAAAACACATTTCAGATGAGACTGCCATTCATCATCAATAGGAACTGGCATTTTCTTTGGGAGAAGACTGTAACAAACACAAATGTGTCTCTTGCTTTTTCTTAGTCACACCTTCATTTCTTAGGTAAAATGCAGCAGCAGCAGCAGCAGCAGCAGAATAGCAGAGTATGGAGGAAAGGCAGGACCATACGGCAATTCTAATTAGTGAATGCATCCAACATCCACGACACCCACACCATTCACTTTGTTGCCTATCAATTTCATCCACTAGAATGTTTTTTAACTTAAGCAAATTTTACATTTTTCAGAATTTATGGAAGTAAAACATATGGGTCCCGTAATTATTTTCCACTCTACATTGACTTGACCAAACGGTAGCTAAAATAGGAAAATAAAGGTGGAAAATTAAAACTAATTCAAACTTTATCTAATTTTTTGAAAGGTCTTTCCTTGAACCCTGTCCAGTGTGGCTCAGTTGGTTGGAGTGTCTTCCTGTACACCAAAAGGTGGTTCAATTTCCAGTGAGAATACATACCTGGATTTTGGGTTCTATCCCCAAGTCAGGGTGGGTATGGGAGGTAACCAATCAATGTTTCTCTCTCACATTGATGTTTCCCTCTCTGTCCTCCTCCCCTTCTTCCTCTATTTAAAAAAACTTTTTTTTCTTTACTGATTTTAGAGAGAGATAGAAACATCAATGAGCAAGAACATCAATTGGCTGCCTCCTGCATGCCCCCTACTGGGGATCAGGCCCACAACCTGGGCATGTGCCTTGACTGGAAATCAAACAGGCGACCTCTTGGTGCATGGGTCAATACCCAACCATTAAGCCACACCAGGCGGGCTCCCTTTCTCTGTCTAAAATCAACAAAAAGTATACCTCGGGTGAGGAAAAAAGAAGTCCTTTCCTAGATCTGGTAGATCTACTAATTTTCCTTTGTTCTGAACCATGCTATCAACTTCTCTTGCTTGTAAACCACACCAAACTCAACTCCCTTTCTCCTTCTGAGAAAACATTCACACTCACTAAACAAAGGTTTTTCCACTCAATCCAGACCCTTATTCAACCTTGGCAACAGCAGCCTTCTTTCCTTCTCCTACCAGCCCAGACTCTGTGGTCTTCCTCACATGGAGAACAGAGACTTTCTGCCCACCCACCTTGCTTCCTTCCCTAAAACCACAGTGTGGCAAAGACCCTTTCCTCTTTCACCACAGCATTTAAATATGCCCAAGAAGGTACTCAACTCACCCCTTCTTCCCCTCACAGATAAATATTTTAAATTAAAATAGTCAATATTCACCATGCACATCTCACCTTACATTATTTTTTAGCTTCCTGCAATCTGGATTACTCCTCCATAGCTACAGGATAATTAATAACCTGTTGCTAAATCTGAAAGATTCTCCAGGCCTCACATATATGTAAATTTTTTTTAATTGATTTTTAGAGAGAGAGGAAGGGAAGGGGAAAGAGAGAGGGAAATATCAACGTGAGAAAGAAACATTGATCAGCTGCCTTCCACACGCACCCTGACTGGAGATCAAACCCAAAACCTGGTCATGTGCCCTCAATGGGAATTGAATGGGCCACCATTTGGTGGGCGGCACTCAATCACTGAGCCACACCAGCCAGGGCTCCAGGCCTTATTTTAATCCCTCTGCAGCCATTGTGAACAGCTCCCTCGCAGGACACCAATCTTGCCTCACTTTCCTCCTACTCTTCTGACATGCTTTCACAGGCTGCATCCTCTTTCTGACTTCTTTATCCAACTATCCTCTGGCTCTTTGTTCATCCCTGATGATACATGTTCTCTACAGAATTTCACCTACTCCTAGAGCTTCCCACTGATCTCTGCATTGCTCCTTCCCACAGACATCTCCAGCTGAACATTCTCCCAAACTCACCTTCCTCACCTCCTCCCAGACCCTGTCTCTGTACTTCTATTTCCAACTTTGGTAAAAAGCACCATCTACCCTGGCCCAGACTAGATACTTGAGAATCGAGATGCTTTCATCTCTCTCAAAATACACCCCAGACGATCCTCAAGTTCCTGGGAGTTCTCAAACCCATCTATCTCTTTATCCTCATTGCCACTTTCACAGCCTTGGTTCAAACCCTCCTCAGGAATCAAGCCAACAGCCTTTTAACTCCCATCTTAGCCTTTCCCAACTACTCACCATATGCCACAAAGAGATCTTCCTAAAACACAAATATGATTCCGTCACCTCCTTTGTAAGATTCTTCAAAATACCCAAAATTCTCAATATGACGTAACAGGTCTCTCAGGATCTGACCAGTCTGAGAGCTGCTTGGGTCTCTAGTTTCAGTTAAAGCCACTCCTCCTGTATGTGCAACTAAGATATAGCCAAAACCAACTATTCACAGGCCCCAGGAATGTGGCATGGCCCCTTTTTGCTGCCTGAGAAGTCCACCTAACTTCACCTAGTGTTCCTCAGGCCCCGCCTAAATGGCCCCTTCTCAAGAAGGCTTCCCCTAACCATAACCCTTACCCCCATGTGTTAATGAATGTTCATAGGTACTCTCATGCATTCATCTTAGAGCAAGTAACACCCTGAATTGCAATTATATTGTAAGCTCGGTTCTCTGCCTCCCCTACTATAAGGCCAAGGGCAATGTACAAGCTCAATTGCTGGCACAAATATGAACATCTCATGGTATTTCTACAAGAGAATGGCTAGTATTTATTTTGCATGAGCAACTACTGCCCTCTTCTGGTCAAATGTATTACCACAGCAAATTTTTTAAAATGTGAAATGGATATCTAGGGAACCAACTTAACATAATGCTGACAGTCAATAGTTACATGACACTGCTATGAAAGACATCTGTAGCACAGGAGAGTGAGCCCAGTTATCCCAACCCATCCTCAAAAATTAACATTCAACTAAATAAAAGAGGGTCTTCAAAAATAATTTAATATAGCCCTGGCCGGTTTGGCTCAGCGGTTAGAGCATCCGCCTGCGGTCCAGAGAGACCTGGGTTCGGTTCCCGCTAAGGGCATGTACCTCGGTTGCAGTTTGTCCCCGGCCCTGGTTGGTCGTGCGGGTGGCAGCCACTCAGTGTGTTCCTTTCACATCGATGTTTCCCTCTCTCTCTCCCTCCCACTCTGTCTGTACAAAAAATGGAAAAAAATAAAATAAAATAAAATAAAATAATTTAATATAGAAGTAATGTCTTTTAATAGATGTAACATTAGCTAAATTAACATAAAAATACTATGCAGGCCTCTTTCAAATGGCCTGACCATTTTTAAATAGCAATATTTTCCATTTCCTTTAAAATGTTATTTATAGACAAAAAAGACTCTTGAAAATAAAGCGGGTTTGGGAAACTTACCAATGTCATAAGCCATGAAGTCTGAAGAAAAGCATTTGGCGCCATAGCTCATGGATGTGTCATTGTGTGTGTTTCCTCCAAACACCAGCATGGTTCCACTTACTATCACAGCTGTGTGCAAGTAACGAAAAAATCGGCTCTCCTTAAGAATGGTCCTTTTGAGATTTAAAAATAATAAATACAAGGTTAGTTTTTTTACAATACTTACCACCTATTCGCTAATGCAAACATAACCATTTTCCTTTTAAAAAACAAATACGTTTGCCCTGGCCAGTTTGGCTCAGCAGTTAAGAGTATCAGCCTGCAGACCAGAGAGTCCCGGGTTTGGTTCCCGCTAAGTTCATGTACCTTGATTGCAGTTCATTCCCAGCCCTGGATGGGGTCATGTGGGTGGCAGCCAGTCGATGTGTCCCTCTCACATCGCTGTTTCTCTCTCTCTTCCTCCCTTTCTCCCACCCACTCTATCTGAAGATAAATGCAAAAATGTCCTTGAGTGAGGATAAAAAATAAAAATAAATATGTCTTCATTGATTTTTTTTAGAGAGATAGAAACATCGATGTAAGGGAGAACCATTGATTGGCTGCCTTCTGCATACTCTCCATTGAGGATTGAGCCCGCAACCCAGGCATGTGCCCTGACTGGGAATCAAACCAGGACCTCTCAGTCTATGGGACAATGCTCAATCCACTGAGCCAACCAGCCAGGCTATAACCATGTTCTTAAGTTAACATCCAAATATGTAAATACTTCTGGATTTTTCCCTATATATAACTTTCTCAATAATAAGTAAACATGAAAAATCTTAAAGACCTATGAGAACTGTGACAAAATATATTGAGAGCCTTAAAAATTGATGACCCTATAATTGCAGTTTCCACACAGAAATCATGAAATACAGGCAGAAGTTTATGCACAATGCTTTATCAGTAAGACAAAAACTAGAAACCAAAATTCCCATCTGTGCAGGCTCAGTATACCTACACAGTGGAGTATTAACACAGCCACTGAAAATAATGGTATCCATGGTCTCAAGTATGGAGGGAAGTACAAAAAGCAAGAAGAGAAACTATTGCTTTATAATTACATTATTTCATAACTCAAATTTGCTTTATATTTATTAAAATTATTGTACTTTTGCCCTGGCCATCTTGGCTCAATGGTGAGAGCATTGGCCCTCAGACTGAAGAGTCTTGGGTTCAATTGCTGGTCAAGAGCATGTATCTGGGTTGCAAGTTAGATCCCTGGCCTTGGTCAGGGTTGTGCAGGAGACAACCAATCAATGTTTCTCTCTCACTCTACCTCTCCCCTTCCACTCTATCTAAAAATCAATGGAGAAATATCCTCGGGTGAGGATTAACAAAAAACAAAACAAATAAACAAAAAATTAGCATACTTTACATAGACCAATATATAGTTAATAGTGAGGACAGCTCTAATCTTTTAGATACTGAGACTATCTCTATGTGATGATTTCATGGAATGATGCCAATAACTGACACCAATGATGACACCTTAGTCATCAAGAAAAGGTAAAATGGATATATTCTACTTAATTACAACAGTGTGCAAAAACTCAGAATAATTTATTCCTTAGGACTCTGAAGAGCTAAAATTTCACAGTGGTACTGAGTGTATGAAAATTGAAAACCATTCAAAAAACTACTGAGCATTTTTTAATCAATCTACCACAAAATTACAGAATAATATAACAAAATAAATACTAGCTACTTTATTACCTTCCGCTTATTTCCCAATTTCTTTTGTCACCCTGAAGAGAATTATCTGCTAGGCCTAAAGACAAAAATATAGCACATTTCCCCAGAAACTGCCAGAATTCACACCTTAAAATGAAAGCTCAAAGAAAAACTACCCACCACATCTGGGTGTCCACATCATATCTGTAGAGATCATCCGCGAGCCGGTATTTATTGGCGCTGAAAGCCTTGTAGCCTCCATGAACATAGATTGCCCTCGTCCTGTGGTCATAGACACTGCTATGGCCATAGCCCCCTTGGACAAGGGCACCCTGGGTATGTAGTATACTCCACATGTTCTTTTCTGAAAATGAAAAACAGTTAAAGGCAAATACTGCAGGATCCTCCTCTCTAATACTTAAACTTACCAAATAGCTTAGGACAAGAGAAGAGATTTTATCATTTTATTTTTAAAGGCCACCTAAAACAAATAAAGTCAAACTTACATTTGTTAAATGGTCTGATGTTTAATATGCCATATAGGAAAAGAATTACATTAAATTTAAAAGATTCAGATTCTCCTCAACTGAACACTTAATTCCCCATGACCTTTACTGATCAATACAGAGATGTATTTTATGGGTCTACTTTTTCAAAATACAAATTAGAGGTGGTACTCCTACTCCATAACACTGGATAAAATAAAATTTAACCAAAGGAAATATTTCATAATAATGGGAAATCACATACCCTCAAACCAATCTTTAAAGAGCTAACTAAATACGTTTTTTCTTCAGAATATGTTGTTTTGAATCATTATTTATTATTTCCAGCACCTAATGCATTTAGTGCTCCGTGACAAATTGACAGTAACAAATATATACTACATAAGCAGCATCAACAATTTGAATTTCACTAGTAACACATCGATACTAACTGCATTTCAAGATAAAATACTGAGTCAAAGTTAGGTTGAATCTTGTTAAATACCCATAATAATAAAGGTAAAGGTTTTAAATATGACATTCAAAAAAATTCACTGGAAAAAATATACCTACCCAAGTCATATTCCTGTACATTGCTTATATAACCATAAAGAGGGCAGTGACCAAAGATGACCAGCATGACTACTCGGCCAGTTTTCAAGGTGACAGTGTGTGCTGAGTGCCCAACGACTGCATACTGCTCCTTTGCTTTCGGAGTCAACAATACCCATGATTCATTATGAATATGAAACACTCTCAACTCATTGGTCACATTCCCAGTTGAATCAATTTTTCCTCCATACATGTAAATTTTATCCTAGAGAAAAAATGTGAAGAACGTAATTCTAAAAACATCGAAAGGATTAAATCTGGGAACAGAAAAGAAGAAGTTCAAAACCTCAGTATTAGTCTTAGCTTAAAAAGTGTTACTCAAATGTACTTTTCAGTAAATTACTAGGGAAAAGATGGCAAAAGAAAGAAAATAAAAGACATAGTATTCTATATCTCTAACAATCTTTTCTTGTACTTCCTCATGCAAGATCTTTTATGATAATAAAATGACTTGGAAAAATAAAGTTGAAAAGTTCCCTAATCCTGCCATAAACCACAAAGACAAGGAAATGAAAATGATTATTCAATTATATTGCAATGTAGCTATTCTCAGCTAACCTCGCTAATGAACATAAGCACTAATCTACACTATATTAATTTTTAACCATTCAGTAGCACAATCATATTATCCTAGTTCAATATGAATACATTAAAATTTCTTGTTAAATTTGTTTCAACTTTAACTTCCACTTATACATTAGCTAATTATATAGCCCACCAAACAGAAAGTTTTCCCCCAATTAAAAACCAACACTGGGCCCTGGCCAGTTTGGCTCAGTGGTTAGAGCATTGGCCTGGGGACCAATGAGTTGCAGGTTCAATTCCAGCCAAGGGCATGTACCTTGATTGTGTTCATCCCAGGCCCTGGTTGGGTCGTGTGGGAGGCAGCCGGTCACTGTGGCTATATCATGTGGATGTTTCTCTCTATATCTCTCTCTCCTTCTTTCCCACTCTATCTGATAATAGGCAGAAAAATATCCTCAGGTGAAGAATAAAAAAAGCAAAAATAAAAAATAAAACCCAACACTGACCCTGGCTAGTTTGGCTCAGTGCTTAGAGTATCTGCCAGTGGATTGAAGGGTCACAGGTTCAATTCCCAGTCAAGGGCACATGCCTGAGTTTTGGGCTTGATCCCCGGCCATGGGTGGGTTGTGCAGGAAGCAACCAATCGATGTCTCTCTCTCTCACATCAATGTTTTTCTCTCTCGCTCTCTCCCTTCCTCCTATCCATTCTATCTAAAAAACAATAGAAAAAAATATCCTGCCCTGGCCGGTTTGGCTCAGCGGTTAGAGCGTCAGCCTGCAGTCCACAGAGACCCAGGTTCGGTTCCCGCTAAGGGCACGTACCTTGGCTGCAGTTTGTCCCCGGCCCTGGTTGGGTCGTGTGGGTGGCAACCACTCGATGTGTCCCTTTCACATCGATGTTTCTCTCTCTTCCTCTCTCTCCTTCCTGCTCTATCTGAGTAAAAAATGGAAAAATGTCCTCGGGTGAGGATAAAAAATATATATATATATCCTCAGTGACGATTAAAAAAATAAATAAATAAATAAAACCAGCACTGAAGTCAAAATCATAGAGACAGAAAGTAGAATGGTGCTTATCAGGGGCTGGGGGAGGAAGAAATAAGGATTTAGTGCTTAATGGGCATCGAGTTACAGTTTTATAAGACGAAGAGTTACAGAGATGGATGGTGGTGATGGTTGTACAACATTATGAATGTATTTAATAATACTGAAATTTACACATTAAAATGGCTAAGAAAGCCTGGCCAATGTGGCTCAGTGGTTGAGCGTTGACCCATGCATCAAGAGGTCACTGGTTTGATTCCCGATCAGGGCACATGCCCAGGTTGTGGGCCAAATCCCCAGCGGGGGGCATGCAGAAGGCAGTCAATCGATGTTCTCTCTCATCGATGACTGTATCTCTCTCTCCCTGTCCCTTCCTCTATAAAATCAATAAAGAAAACTTTTTAAAATTAATTAAATGACTAAGATGGTAAATTTTATGTGATGTATATTTTACCACAATCAAAGAGATTAGGGGGGAAAACAACAATATTAAATAGCTTTTTAACCACATAATATGATAAAGTCACTATGGAAGAGTTGAGTTTCTAGCTCAGTAAAGAGTGGAGACATTTTACCTTGTATAATGCTAAAGAATGGCCATATCTAACAACCACATTGTTCACAGAACGATTCAGTGCAAGCCACTCCCTAGAAGCAAGGTCATACCTACAAAACAAACAGATCATATTTTCACCCAAATGACAAAACAGAGTATCTCATACTTTTTTATTTGTGATCAATCCAATTTGGAGATGCTCATTACATCTGACATGCATATGGGAAGGCACTTGGGCAAATAAACCTAACATCTGGGCCTACTATGCATATGATAACTCAGGAAGAGGAGCTGGGCTGAACAGCCCTGGGACAAGAAAGAAAAAAAAAAACTGGAAGTTTCTAATGCTTCCTGAAAACCTCTTCTACACAAAGTCTAAACAATTTGCAGGTTGCATTATACTCAAGGAACTTAAATTTTTATTACCGTAACTTGTCTTCTATTTAATCATGTGAAATTAAATATAGGTACGTAAAGGGGAATGATAATTAAATAAAAGAAAATTCCTAACTCTCCTTTTTACCTAATTGATTTTTTAAAATTTGTATTTTTAAGAAAGCCAGAATATCATTACAGCATTTCAATTATACTATGAATACATTTTATACCAAAAAAATGCCAAAAAGAAAATTATCTATACTCTTCCTTTGTAGCTTAATCACATCCATATCTCAGAATATTCACATTTAGTTTGTCTTTAAGAAAAATACCTCTCTATTGTTTTTATTAAAAATCATAACATTGATTATAAAGAATGGAACCAATGACCCTGCCTGGGTAGCTAAGTTGGTTATAGCATTGTCCCAATATGCCAAGGTTGAGGATTCGATCCCTGGTCAGGGGCACATGCCTAGGTTGTGGGCCAAATCACTGGTAGGGTACATGCAGGAGGCAGCCAATCAATGTTCTCTCTCATTGATATTTCTATCTCTCCCTCCCTCTCTCTTCCTCACTCCCTAAAATCAATAAAGAAAAAAAAAAAAAAGAAGCAACCAATGAATGCATACGTAAGTGGAACAACAAATATCAATGTTTCTCTTTCTCTCCCCCTTCCTCTATCTCTAAAATCAATAAATAAAAAGAGAATGTAACCAATGCAAAAATATAGAGCTAAAATCTTAAAACTGATCCCACATTTCAACACTTAAAAATGAGTATCATTAACATTAAGAAAACATCATTCCAGACATTTTTCTATGCATATATAGATAGATAGAAGAACAGAGTGACAATGTATATTTATATAAAGGGGATTATGCTATAGATACGTTTAATAAACAGTGTTAATTTTAATTTTTATATAATTTAATAGAAAAAAACAAAGGGAAACAAATGCCATTGTTACACTTTTAAAGTTTATTTACTTCCTATGTTTCTCTGAATAATCTAAGTTTTTTAAATTATACAAACCATTACTATATGTAAACAAGATGTAAGAAAGTTTTATCACAACATAATAGCAAATAGGCAACAAATGTCCATCAACAGAAAATGGATTAATAAATTATACAATCTATCTATATAATAGAATAGTTACAGAGTAAAAAAATATACTCAAGCAACATATTATCAACATAATTCTCAAAACAATGTAAAGCTAAAAAAACAAATTACAGAATACTATTTTTATAAAGACTAAATACAAACTTTATTAATTCTAATATATGTTTATGTATGTTTAAAGTGTAAAAATAGCCCTGGCCAGTTTGGCTCAGCGGTTAGAGCATCGGCCTGCGGTCTGGAGAGACCCGGGTTCGGTTCCCGCTAAGGGCACGTACTTCGGTTGCAGTTTGTCCCCGGCCCTGGTTGGTCGTGCGGGTGGCAGCCACTCGATGCGTCCCTTCACGTCGATGTTTCTCTCTCTCTCTCCTTCCTCTCTCTCCCTCTCACTCTATCTGTACAAAAAATGGAAAAATATCCTCGGGTGAGGATAAAAAAAATAAATAAATAAATAAAATAAAATAAAGTGTAAAAATATGTATATGAACAAATGACAGCACAAAATCAGGATTTAATTATCTTTGGGATTTTGGAGGGGTCTTTAACTATGCTAGCAATGTTTTACTTCCTAACCTGGGTGGTAAATGTATTAGTATTCACTAATTTTTCTCTAAATCCTTCCTTTGTCTTAAGTATTATATACATAATCTGAAACAAATTTAACAAAATGGTGACATTTATTACATATGAATAGTACATAAATAAGACCACATATGATTTTATGTATTGTTTGAATATTCTGTTTTTTAAGTAAATAAAAAATTCAGAGGTTGAATTCACTTTAGTTTTTAAGTTACAGGAGGATTCCAAAACGACGGCGGAATGAATGGAAGCTACACAGACCATCTCCCAGGACCAAACTGGAATTACAACTAAAATAAAGACAAATCGTCGGGAAAAAGCAACTTGTGAAGACCATATAACCAGGGACACTGACTCGATCCTGGTAGGATTGCGGAGGCGCGAGACGGGGCTGGGAGCCCAAGGACAGCAGCAGTCTTAGCTGTGAGCAGTGCCCTCGGGTTAAACTCCCAAGTGGCTCCACAGCGCAGAACTGGGACAGAGCGCTAGAATAGCCACACCCACTCACCTTGGGCTCCGGCAGAGGGAGGGCGAACTGGACTGGAACTGTGTGGGGACACTCGGTATTTGGAGGATGCTCAGAGCTTTTGCTGAGTTGTTGCCACACAAGACAGTGGCCATCTCACTCCTTCCCAGGGCTCTGGGAAAGGTGGCGGACCCTCCCTCAGAGATGCAACCCTACAGGTGGGCCACTGAAATGCAAACTGAGGCTCATTAACAACCAGCATCTGCCCCACCCTCGGGAAATCCCCTTATGCTGAATACCAAGGGAGTTTTTCATTCAACTGAGAACCCAAGGCTCTTCAGTAACCACGACTAATAATAGCCTCCAGGCAAAAAGCGAGAGAATAACTGAACCATTCCTGGGCTTGCAACTCTGCCCAGGAAAGTAAAACGTGACAGTGGTGTTTAACATGGGTCTTCCCACGCTCATCCAAACCCAGTAGAGGGAGCCACAAACAGCAGAACACCAACACCCACAGGGAAAATTTGAAAGGCTCCAAAGCCCACAGAGATAGCCAAAGTGCTGAAACAAAGAAACAAATGCCAAATGAAAGAACAAGAGACCTCTGCCGAAGATGAGATAAATGAGGTGCAGTTAAGCGAGTTATCAGAGGTAGAATTCAGAGCCAGGATCTTGAAGAAGCTCAACAGCATGAGTAAAGACATCAACACCATGAGTAAAGACATAGAAATGTTGAAAATCAATCAACTGGAAATTAAAAACAACCAAGAAGAAATGAAGAATGACATATCAGAAATAAAGAACACAATGGAAGGTCTAAACAGCAGAGTAGAGGAAGCTGAGGACAGGATCAGTAAATCAGAAAACAGAGTAGAAAAAAAATCAACCAATCAAAAACCCAAAAGGAAAAAACAATGAAAAAACAGGAAGACAGCTTAAGAGAACTGTGGGACAATTGGAAATTTAATAACATTCACATCATAGGAGTCCCCAAAGAAGAAAATGAGCAAGAGTTGGAGAATATATTTGAAGAAATAGTGACAGAAAACTTCCCTAATTTGGTGAAGGAAGAAGGCATTCAAGTTCAAGAAGCACAGAGGGCCCCAAGTAAGAAGAACCCAAACAGGCCCACACCAAGACACACAGTAATTAAAATGCCAAAAATTAAAGACAAAGAAAGAATCCTAAAAGCAGCAAGAGATAAGCAACAGGTTAACTACAAAGGAACCCCCATAAGGCTATCAGCTGACTTCTCAACAGAAACACTACAGGCCAGAAGGGAATGGCACAAAGTAATCAAGGTCATGAAAAACAAGTATCTGAATCCAAGCAAGGCTATCATTCAAAATAGGTCAAATAAAGAGCTTCCCAGACAAAAAGTGGCTAAGGGAATACATTAGCACCAAACCAGCACTGCAAGAAATGTTAAAAGGACTTCTGTAATTAGTAGAAGAAATAGGAAAAAAAATATATAACCACCCTAAATTAAAATGGCAATAAATAAGTACATATCAATAATCACCTTAAATGTAAATGCATTAAATGCTCCCATAAAAAGACACAGAGTAACTGATTAAATAAGAGGGCATGACTCATATATATGTTGTTTACAAGAGACCCATCTCACAATATAAGACTCAAATAAATTGTAAGTGAAGGGATGGAAAAAAATCTTTCAAGCAAACGGAAAGGAAAAAAAAGCTGGGGTAGCAATACTAATATCTGATAAAATAGATTTCAAAATAAAGGCCAGGAAGATATAACCTTGATAAACATATATGCACCCAATATAGGGGCAACAAAATATATTAAAAATCTTCTGGAGGACTTCCAAGGAGAAATCGACAGTAATACAATCATAGCAGGGGACTTCTACACCCCACTGACATCACTGGATAGATCCTCTAGACAAAAAATTAACAAGGAAACAGAGACTCTAAATGAAGCACTAGACCAAATGGATTTAATAGATATCTACAGAGAATTACACCTCAAAACTATAGAATTCACATTCTTCTCAAGTGCACATGGGACATTCTCAAAGATAGACCACATGTTAGGGAAAAAACTAAGTCTCTACAAGTTCAAGAAGACTGAAATCATATCAAGCATCTTCTCAGATCACAATGGCATGAAACTAGGATCAATTGCAACAAGAACATGCAAAGACATTGGAACACATGGAGGCTAAATAGCATGTTATTAAACAATGAATGGGTTACCGAGGAGATCAAAGAAGAAATAAAAAACTTCCTGGAAACCAATGAAAATGAACACACAACATCACAAAATCTATGGGATGCAGCGAAAGCAATTCTGAGAGGGAAGTTCATAGCACTACAAGCCTACCTCAAGAAACAAAAAAAATTTCTAATAGACTATCCAACCTCACAACTTAAAGAACTAGAAAGCAAACAAAAAGAAAACCCCAGGGCAAGTAGAAGGAAGGAAACAGTGAAGATCAGAGCAAAAATAAATGACATCGAGACCAAAAAATCAATTCAAAGGATCAATGAAACAAAAAGCTGGTTCTTTGAAAAGATAAACAAGATACATGGACCC